ACCAACCTCAATAATTTCAGACCTATCTCCTTACTCCCATTCACCTCTAAACTCCTAGAACGCCTCATCTACAACCGCCTGAGTTGCAACCTCGCTAATAACAACCCTTTGGACCCCTTTCGCCCCAAACACTCCACTGAAACCGCCCTCCTAAAACTCACCAATGACCTAATAACCGCTAAAAACAACGGCCACTATTCCTTACTCTTGCTATTAGACCTTTCTGCTGCTTTTGACACTGTTGACCACCCGCTGCTCCTCAAAAAAATCCACTCGCTTGGCCTACAAGACTCTGCTCTCTCATGGTTCTCATCCTACTTATCTACGCGCTCCTTCAGTGTCACCTACAATTCTAACTCCTCCCCTCCTCTTCCTCTTTCTGTAGGGGTCCCCCAAGGCTCAGTCCTTGGACCCCTCCTCTTCTCCATCTACACCTCCTCCCTTGGTCAACTAATAACCTCACATGGCTTCCAATACCATCTCTATGCGGATGACACTCAAATTTATCTTTCCACTCCACAACTCTCCCCCTCAGTGTCCTTGCGTGTCACTAATCTACTAAATGACATATCAGTCTGGATGTCACAACATTTCTTAAAACTCAACCTTTCAAAAACTGAGCTCATGATATTTCCTCCACCCCGTGCACCTTCCCCCAACATTTCAGTTGTGATTGATAACACAACTATCCAACCCTCCCCTCATGCCAAGGTCCTAGGTGTCATCCTTGACTCGGACCTCACCTTTCTTCCCCACATCCAATCGCTATCCAAATCCTGCCGCCTTCACCTTCGTAACATCTCAAAAATACGCCCCTTCCTCACCAATGACACCGCAAAACTACTCATACACTCCCTTGTTATCTCTCGTCTTGACTATTGTAACTCCCTCCTCATTGGCCTTCCACTACACAGGATATCCCCCCTTCAGTCTATCATGAATGCAGCTGCCAGACTCATTCACCTTACCAACCGCTCAGTGTCTGCATCCCCCCTCTGCCAATCCCTCCACTGGCTTCCACTCGCCCAGAGGATAAAATTCAAAATATTAACAGTCACTTATAAAGCCATCCACAACTCTGCCCCCGGATGTATCTCAGACCTTGTCTCAAAATATCACCCTAACCGTCCCCTCCGCTCATCCATTGACCTCCTGCTTTCCAGCTCCCTTGTCCACTCCTCCCATACTCACCTCCAGGACTTCTCTAGAGTCTCTCCCATCCTCTGGAACTCCTTACCCCAACCTGTCCGTCTATCTCCCACCTTGACTGCCTTTAGGCGTTCCCTAAAGACTCATCTCTTCAGGGAAGCCTATCCCACCTCAACCTAACCAGTGAACCTTCACATTCTCACATAATTCATTCCCACAGCTACCTCATGTATCATTTCCCCCTCCTCTTTTAGATTGTAAGCCCTCAGGCGCAGGGCCCTCCTTACCATCTTGTCTTGAATTGTATTGTAACTGTAATGTCTTCCTTATATTGTAAAGCGCTGCGCAAACTGTTGGCGCTATATAAATACTATGTAATAATAAAAATGTAATAATAACACTTGCTTGAGTACAGAACACTTGCTTCCTATGTTATGGAGATGAGGGGAGGGGGGAGATGATCTGTAGTCCTAACATACATGTGCTAGGATGACAAAGCTCCTGTACAGTAAGTTAGTGCTGATATTCTAGGACTGAAAGAAGACAAATGCAGCCACCACATTTAAGGACCGGTAGGCTGCAATGAACGGCAATTTTGTCCTAGTTTATAAAAACAATTGGGCTGCACTGGTCAACAAGCCCTCATGCACATGTCGACCATGGTGCTGCAGGTATACTGCGGATACCTGCGGCTGGGACCCCTGGTGTCGCAATTAGCAGCAGCAGCTCATTTTGTACAACTCAATGACAAGCTTAACTACCTCCCGGCCAGCCGCTGTGTATACACGGCCTGCCGGGAGCTTCTTGGATGTAACTGGGCGTGTATACACGTCTGGGCCATCTGTACAATACATAATAGAGTTGGTTTTCATAATACAATCAAGGCTTACTTGAAAAAAATCCCTTTTATGTAGTGAGTGCTGCCTTCCGTCTGCCCATCACTTTCATCTACTTCCTGGATTCCCAGTGTGCTTTGCGTCTCTTTCCCTGCTGCATGATGTGATGATGCAATTTCAGTTTCTCAAGAGTACATATCCCATCATGCATTGCTTCCAGCAAGCAATGATGAGGTTACATTGTTCAAATGCCGAGTTGTAGTTCAGAAGGCATGCTCTGTGAGAGTTGTCACAACTCCATATAAATACATATTAATGTTTAGTCTTTGATCATAGATAGACTTTAATTGCCACTGTAATCCTGGCCCAACACAGTTAGAAGGAATCTTATAAACTATAGGAACCATGGTTGCAGGGAGGAGGCAGGTTCAAGCACTCCTCCCCAGCGCCAGGTTAGGAAGAGGGCTGGAGAGGTATGCATTATATGGACCCCAGAGAGGCATGATGCATACCGTATATACTCGAGTATAAGCCGTCCCGAATATAAGCCGAGGTACCTAATTTTAGCAAAAAAAACTGGGAAAAAGTATTGACCCGAATATAAGCCGAGGGTGGGAAATGAGGCTTGTGCAAGAAACTTGGAGACTGTAAGCCCCCTTCTGTGCTTTACCCATCAAACTTCTGAGCAGGTGAGCAGTACAGCTTGACCAAGGAGCCACCCCCAGCCTGCCCAATGGACAGTGCAGGAGAAGCACACAGATGAGGTCATAGCAGTGCTCTCACCTTCTAGAAGCATGTAGACAGACAGCACCGTGCAAGAACCATCCTCACATCTATTGCAGTGAAGCCGCAGCTGGAAGCCAGGAAAGAAGAAGCTGCAGGGACCGGTCTAGAGCCAGGAAGGACAGATGATCAGGTGAGTAGATCTGCTTTATTTGACCCCACCCCTAGACAAAATGAGCACTTAACCCTTACAGAGCAGGGGTAGGCCCACTTCAAGGGCAAGTTTTCTTTAAACCTACCAACAACTATGTAATGCAAGGACCTGTCTGATTGGATACAAACTGAATGGAGAGTTTAGCTAGGCCCTCATATTACATACCGTATATACTCGAGTATAAGCCGTCCCGAATATAAGCCGAGGTACCTAATTTTAGCAAAAAAAACTGGGAAAAAGTATTGACCCGAATATAAGCCGAGGGTGGGAAATGAGGCAGCTAATGGTAGATGGATACCAATAAAATTACATTAATATTTATTTAAAAGAAAAATAACCTAGCTCTGTAAGTGGAAAAGGGGGTACAGGGCTACATATCATGTACTACGGATCATTTAACCCATTCATATTAGCAGAGGATAATTGTAAATCTATTGTTCAGTGCACTCTATATGTAGTATATAGTACATGTACATATAGAGTGCCTGCAACAATACATTTACAATGATCCTCTGCTAACATGAATGGGTTAAATGATCCATAGTACAGGGCTACATACAGATCATTTAATACATTCATGTTAGTATAATTGTAAATGTATTGTCTGCACTGTATTAGCAGTATATACTCTATATAGAGTATATACTGCTAATACAGTGCAGACAATACATATATAATTGCTTAATTAATCTCTCTCTCTACCCCCCCTCCCTCCCTCCCCCTCACTCACTGTGTGCCGGTGATCGGATCATCACATCACGGAGAGAGCAGGGACGAGTCAGCGGCGCGCTGATCCAGTGGGAGGAGCTCCAGGTGGGGTCCTAATTTAGCTGGCTCAGAGGTGCCTGCCCGCTAAATTACAACCCCACCTGGAGCTCCTCTCGCCTGATCAGCGCGCCGCTGACTCATCCCTGCTCCCCTGCCTGACTGGCCGCTGCGGGGGGTTTTTTCTTCTTCTTACTTACCTCGCCGAGCGTCGCTGCTGCTGCGGTGTGCGGCGCTCCGAGCGGGGTCATCTGGCAGTCTCCGGCCACCTAAATTAGGACCCGGAGACTGCCAGATGACCCCGCTCGGAGCGCCGCACACCGAGCAGCAGTGACGCGACACTCGGCGAGGTAAGTAAGATGACGCGCTGGCGCTGACTCGAGTATAAGCCGAGGGGGGCACTTTTCACCCAAAAAAATGGCCTGAAAATCTCGGCTTATACTCGAGTATATACGGTAGTTTTGAGAAATCTAAGATTGTACAGCCAGGGGGGTCCCGAGGCCGGGTGTCACCCGGAGCGGATACCGAGTGACACCCCACAGTGACAGCATTGCACATGCATGGCCATCTTGGTGATGGACACTGGCAGAGAGGAAGGGACTTCACCCGGGGGGGATAAGGTATGCCGCTGGGTCCCCTGCTCTCTCCTGCAACTGTGGGGCTCTCGGTCCATAAGCGAGTGCCTGACAACAAAATGACTGCCAGTCATTTTGATATCACCCCTCCTATGGTGTCACCCAGGTGCGAGCCACACTCCCCATGTGACACCACTGTGTACAGCCAGATTGTAATGTGTATGGCCAATCAGAATTGAGAGATGCATTTTTCTTATCAGTACTTAGCTTCCAGTCCCTTCTCATTATCTCTGTCCAATAAAAGGTGGATTTCTATTCCTGTCCAGACATCCTGTAAAATTAATTATATCTTCTTTGCCTGACCTGCCTGAAAAGATCTTTTATAATACATTTTAAAGCTGAACTCTGTCATATTGGATAGTATTTATGATACTGATACCATACAATCCTATTGTGTTACCTGTACGGTCCAATAGCAGCTGGAGCCTTGGCACTGCAGATAATTTTCCTGACGATAGAAGCCATGACTGTACTCCAGCAAACTTTCACCTGACCAACACCACCCCTTCCTTCTATACAGCTGCTGGCAGCACATGGGCTCTGCGCATGCTCAGTATAGGGCTCTACTGTGCGCCACGATCTGGGAAAACCTTCCCCTGACGTCATCAGGCTTCCTCGTCCACCAATCAGCTCTTCTCCCGCAGCTCTAGAGTGAGGCGTGGAACTCACGGTGGCTCTCCCACGTGTGGAGTGTATGAGAGATCCGGGCTGAGGTTCAGGGTTTCCGCGTTGTACTGGGTGACAGAAGAGGAGCAGCGCTGACAGGCCTGGTATGGAGGGTCTCTATAACTAGTGCTTACGATACAGAGGACAGTCTGCAGGGCCCATACTGAAGTATTAGAGTTTGCAGCGATACGGGCCAGTCCACCGAGAAGCCCCCAGTCATGGTTGTTGTGTCTGTGATGATGAAGGATGTGTTCAGGGTTTGCAGAGATTTCCCTGGAATGTTTTGTCTTGTATATTTTCATATACTTGTCTTCTACACAATAGTTTTCTGCTTTCAACTTTTGTTCATACAAGCAAAATGGGGGGGAATATAAAAGGGTGTGCCAGGGCAGTGTAGGAGAGCACAGAGGTGAGTATTGGTGCAGTGACTGTGAGACCAGTGGGTATTGGTGTAGTATCAGCGAACCCAGCGGTGAGCATTGTTGCAGTGAGCATTGGCATAGTGGTAGTGAGCACAGAGGTGATTATTGATGCAGTGGCTGTGAGCATTGGCGCAGTGGCAGCGAGCCCGGGGGTGAGCATGCGGCGCAGTGGCGGTGAGCATCTGGCGCAGTGGCAGGGAGCCCGGGGGGGAGCATCCGGCGCATTGGCAGGGAGCCCGGGGGGGAGCATCCGGCGCATTGGCGGCGAGCCCAGAACCCAGATCAGCTGAGTTACAAGAGCCAATTAATTGAAGGAATGGCTAACCCTGCCCCCTTTCTATTAAAGGGTGGCTCACTAACCCTGCCTGCTTTCTTTAAAAGGGTGGCTCAAAACGGCCATATTGTCAGTAGGTTGACATTGTTACATGCCATGCCCTCCCCTATGGCAGTGCCGGTCTTCCCATGCCTTGTGTTTGAGAAGAGCATGCTTGTTAGTACTAGAAATGACCAGAAATCAGCTAACAATTCCCCCCCAGACTTTTGTTACCCTTGCGGTAAAACGCACATTACATAGGTCTGAAGGGGACCAACCTCCTCCATGACTACAGAACCCTTCCATTGTGGCAGCTATTTTTAAAAGGTCAAACATCCAAATGTATTCATTATCACTCCTCCCTCCGAAACGATTGAATCCTCTATTATTATTTTGAGCGTGCACTCTCTAAATCAGGCTGCAGCTAAGGGGAGAACTACAACTCCATTTTGTTTCCTGGATTCTTTTACAGTAAGTGTAGGATATTCATTTTATGTTCAAAGCTGAACTCTAGACAGATATAAGACACAAATTAATGTTGCTCTGTAATAATTCATTAAACGTGTTTTTTTTTTTTTTTTTAATTATTTGCAAGAAATGTAAGTACCTGAATTTGACCTCTTACAGTCCCTGCAGAGCACAGCTAAAGTGTATAAGGAAGAAGCAGCACAGGGAGCACACAGTTTATAAGCAAACAAGAGGCATGGTAATAGGAGAGGGCTCATTATTGTGCTGCTTCTCATTTCACTCTGCAGTCTCTGGTTCTAGTCATGGTGAGCTTGTAATGTACTACTTCACCCTTTCTCTGCCACTTTTATACACTTGTGACAGTTGGGACGTGTGTCTGTTAAGTGGAGCTGTCAATGAGATGCAATCTGGCAGATTTGGGTTATACCCCGTATTAGAAGCTGGCAGGTGTTTGCTGATTGACTAAATTGTTGTCATTGCTCGGGACATAGGTCCGGATGCATACAGCTGTAGTTATCCATTCCCTTATCCTGAAGTGGTTTTATGAAAACTAAATGAGTGACGTGTGCACCTCATAATACATAGCCTTACAAATACATACTGAATATGTGCATTGTTATTATTTCACAGGCCATATGTACTATCCTTTATTTCTGTTGCCGATGTAGATTCTTCCTCTTACGGTTTGTTTCTATTTCAGTATTTCATCCACAATGTCAACAGCCAAAGAAAAAAAACATGCCAGACGGATGAGAAATCAGCCCTCCAATGTGAGCCTTGATCAGGGTGGCAGGACACCCCAGGGTGTTGGGCGAGGAGCTTTTCAGCCACATAGAGGTAATAATGGAACCTGTGAAATGCCATGCCTTGTTAGATCACGACAGAAAATGTGTCACATTTCATACATATTTCTTAGGTGGTACCTCTGGGCAGCAGCAGAGAGGTCCATACCAATCACAGGGGGCTCACGCTGGAGGAGGCCGAGGAAGAGGGGACTTCAATGAAGGACCTCAGATCCCTAAATATATTACAGGTGAGTGTATACTGTAAATAAGTATTGACAGGCTCATGACTTAGAATAGGATCTTTTGTCACTGTCATCCATCATGTTGCTGCAAATCTTTATTCCTTACTGCAGTTTGTCTTCCTTCAGTTATGGGATAAATCCAACAGCTGCCTTAAGGGTAATTCCACTTTCACTTCTGTAATTATGGACAAAGTCTGTTTACCTGCATTTCTGCAAGCATTGTAGTAGTTTTATATAGTTTTAGCTTTCATTTGTTGTTTATGGTCTGTGTCTCTTTTTTTTTTGTAAAAGTCGTCATTTTGGTTTTCCATGGGCTAGTTTTCTCCTGCCTACGTATCCCTGCATGCACTAGCAGACTTTCTGTTATCTTGTTGTCACATGATCGGACAGGTCCACTTCCTCCACTAGCCGCTACCTCAATACTGTGTTCTGTAATGACATAGAGGCTGGTGGTAGAAACTACTACTGCTCAGCTGGCAAGCAAACATCTGACACACATAGAAGTATGGTGGCTATTCTGGATTTTTCAGCAAGCATCATTTATTGCAGCGGAGTTCAGCATGGTGGGTAGCGGGACAGGTGACTATTATTAGCTTGATTTTGCAGGAAACTATATTTTTTTCCACTTTTAAAAATCCAAATTGATTTCCCTTTTGAAACTGAAGTTGCAGCCTTGGCCCCTTGCATCTCCATTGTAATCCATGGTCTGCAGTGTTTAATTCTGTTTCGGTAGGGTTTTATTGAGGTCTTTTTACCGGCTGCATATAATATATGTTGTATGAGGTAGATGGTACAATCAAAACAGGTCGGTAATGGAGAATTAGATGGGAAAGGTAAGCTGAGGATATGGAAGGGGGGGATCCCCAGGCGACACTGCTCCCCAATCACTATGCTAATGTGAACTTCCCAACAGACAGAAGATAGATGGAGAGAAGGGAACGATCAGAGCCATTTGGAAAATAATTGTACATGGTGTAGACATTTGGAAATTCTTTCTATGTAATTGGCTGCTGGTTTTTGTTTTTTGTTGTTTTTTAAAAGTTTTGAGCAATTGTTGGGAGTGTGGACCTCTGTTGCATTTATTTGCACTTATAGAAATGCACCCTCTAGGTTTCATTGACCTATATGAACTGCTACAGCCAAGCTGCATTCACCCTACACCATATGGAATCCACATAAGCAGGTGATGGCAGTATATTGATAAGCTACATGTGTTTATTAAGGCCAACAAGGCTGTGAATTCGGGTGTGTGATATTGTGTATATAACCTGCATACAAATAGTCAAACCTCTATTGGCTGTTCTGAAATAAGTTTGTGTGTATCTGCATCTATTTTATTGATTTGCTTTGTATTCCAGCAACAATGTTTGCTCAGGCCAGAGCAGCAGAAATAAATGCCATGGTGAAGGCAGTGTCTCAGAAATCCTCCAACTCCTTGGTGTTCCAATCTCTTCCCCGACACATGCGGAGACGTGCCATGGGACATGACGTTAAGCGATTACCTAGAAGGCTGCGGGAAATGGCTAAAAGAGAGGTATGTGTTGAGTGGGTCATGTGCTCCCTCCTTTTGACGCAATTGTTGTACAATGCCTTGGGGAATACTGTCTCTATATTCCGCAGATGGAGAAATCTGTGCACCAGAAGAAAGAACAGTCTAAAAGCAAGTGTCGCAAAGCTCGGAGACGCCATGGGAACCTTCAGTTGGAGTTTAATCGCAGACAAAGGAAGAACATCTGGCTGGAAACTCACATTTGGTTCACAAAGCGCTTCCACATGGTGAAGAAATGGGGTTACTGCTTAGCAGATCGGCCTACAATGAAAAGCTACAGGGCCTGTTACCGAGCCATGTCCAATCATTGCCTTCTGCATGCCATTCCTCACCTCTACTTAATATGCCATCTGCTCGACTGTCATGCTGCTTACCCTTTGCCTTCACTACATCAAATCACTGACTGAAACAAATGTGTTGTTGTTTTTATCTTGACTTTATCTGAATGATGGTTCCAGTCAGTGACTCTGTAATAAAGTTAGCGGGAGGAGAGAAGAAACAAAGTGCACTGACCCATGCAACAGAACTCGTTTACTTGGGTATATATAAATACAATTGCACACACAAAAATAGTTAATACAGCACACGATTGTATTTATATCTGCTTAATCCTAGTAGATTGTATTGCTTGAGATTGGTGTGGTTTTTTTGTTTTTTTTTGGGGGGGTGTGGTCCCCCCCCCCTTCTCCCAGACAGCTGTGTGAAGCTGCAAGTGTCATGCTTATTAAAATTACCCCAACCAGCAGACTTACCCTCCCGACTCTTGCTTCTTGCATATCACAGAAGGGTTTGCTATGTTTAATTCCTGAGGTTGAGACTCGTTATCATGTAAACTGGCTGCTTTTTATAAAGCTAGTGGACCTGTATTACAGCCAGTCCACTTGCATCTTCAGAAGTTCAGAAAAAAAACCCTAATTTCCTGGTTTACTAACGTGAATCTCCTTTATTTCTTGTTGTTATTCCTTCATACTGGAAGCAATACATACACTGATGCATGGAAAAGTTCTTGCTGATAAATACAGGCAGTCCCCAGGTTACAAACAAGATAGGGACTGTAGGTTTGTTCTTAAAGGAGAACAATGGAGTTAAGGCTTTTCCCCATAGTTCTCAGGGTAACGGGAGGACACAAACTAGCGTCCTCCCGTCACCCTAGGCTCAGTATACCGCAAGACGGAGACGCCGCAGTATACCGCGTGCTGCTGAGACGCCGCAGCTGAAGCGGATCCCGACAATTGTGCCGGGATCCGCCCAGCTGCGTGACTGACAGCTGGCTCTGTCTATCTAGAGGCAGAGCCAGCTGTACCCGCTCCCCTGTCCGTTCCGCCAGTCAGCGCTGGCAGATCGGAGCGGGGAGAGGCGAATCCAGCCCCTCCCCCCTGTCACGGCACAGAGCCGTGACAGGATCGAGAGGTGAGCGAACGCCGGTATGTGTTCGCTCACCTCCCGATCTACTGAGCCGACCTGTGACAGTCTCATTTTCACAGGTCGGCTAGAACTATGAGGCGAGTGAAAAGCACTCACCTCATAGTTCTCCTTTTTTAAGTTGAATTTGTAAGGTAAATTTTTTTGTTTTTATTTTTTGTTTTGGATAGCATAGGAAAAGGTTAACCCCCCTGTAAAGTTTATCTTGCTGTGAGTGCCCCTGTTCATATTTCTTCTCACTTTCTGTCCCTGTGACAATTGGATTTTGAAAATTTTGGGTTGTCGTGGAAACAAGGATTGGTGATTTAAAGTTTCAGTGGAGACAGCTGTTTCCCATAACTCTTACAGGAGTGAATTTCCCTTCCTGTTGAATTTGTAAGGTAAATTTTTTTGTTTGTTTTGGATAGCATAGGAAAAGGTTAACCCCCCTGTAAAGTTTATCTTGCTGTGAGTGCCCCTGTTCATATTTCTTCTCACTTTCTGTCCCTGTGACAATTGGATTTTGAAAATTTTGGGTTGTCGTGGAAACAAGGATTGGTGATTTAAAGTTTCAGTGGAGACAGCTGTTTCCCATAACTCTTACAGGAGTGAATTTCCCTTCCCAGGGATAGATTTCCTTTCACTTTCTGTTGTCTCAAGTACAGGAAGTGAGATTAAATCGTTCTAATGAGGATACAGACAGCAGTAAAAATCTCAGTGACCCAGAAGAACAGGCGGGCACCCCTCGTCTGCAGAACCAACTTCCTGTAATGTACATATAGTACTACGAACCAGACCCAAAAAGGCGCGCACTCATGTTTTCAGGCAATACTGCTTGACTCAAACGGCTGCAATTCTGTTCCTGTATTTAGAACGTTACACATATTTAAATGGGATTTTAATTTACTTATTTGGCTATTTTTGTTGGGCATTCTGCTTAAAATCTAACAGTAAAAAAGCCTGCATTACACATCGGGTACCTGTTTGTTGTCTGTAGCTTCTAATAACTGGTATTTAAGAGTGTGCTAAGGTGTTTGCACTTCTGAGACTTCATCCTAAGGCACATTTTTAAGGTTGGGGTCAGGTTTAATTTAAATGATACATGGAAAAGGTTTTGCTGATGAATTCCTACCTATGATAAACTCTCTAGTATTAGACTAGGTGGCAGTTGAATTATTATTGCTCATGTTGCCGAATAACATAGTTTTGACTTTTTTTCTTACCATTTTGATCTAATCTGATTACACTAGTTTAAAGCTGACATGGCTTTTTGTTGCTTTGAGGCTTCTAGTACATTAGAAGACATTGATAACACTTTTTCTACCTTAAGATGATTTTGCACATGTATGTCTTCTATAACTTTTTTGAAAAGGCTGAAGTTTTGACCTTTCTTTCCCTAGGACTTATCTTATCTCTGCTGTGTGGAAGTAATGGGCAAAGAGGAAGATCTACTGAAGGCCTTGTCAAGGCTTTGCAGCATAGAAACGGGTAAAACCAGATGGCTGATGGACTGATCGCAGTTAGTCTGTGTAAAAAAAAAATAAAAAAAAAAAATGGCATTGCTGACCTTTTTTAAAATGTGTAAAGACTAGGACTAAACTCTACACATATTCATTATGATTAACATTGTGTGTACACTGGAAGTGACCACCTTGTGCTTTTTATCTTATTATCCCCTTAACATTCAACATAATCTGTCAGGATAGGAATATGACATCCATCATCACTGATTTTGGTTTAGGGAGGTGCAGGCTCCAAGGCCACTATTGATCCCTCACTGCTTGGCGGAACTGAAGGTGTCTGGGTGCTTGTTCAGCATGTCAATGTTCCAGGCTAGTGAAGTGGTGAAACAAAAATCTGGATCACCGCCCTGGAACATTCAAAGGAAGTCCACTATGGCATATTCTGTCATTACAGGTTCCATTTTAGCTTTTTAAATGAACCCTGTACTGAAGGGCAAAAGGATCTTGCTATTGCTGACCTCCTTGTTAAAATGACAGTTGTCTGGCAGTCATGCTGGTCTTTGGGATTTAGTACTCTGAATCGGTGACCTGCAACTGCTCAGTAGCCATTGAAGTCAAGACAATTGAACTACATAAATGGCATACTTTAACATGTTAATGCCTGTTTACAATTCAAGGTGCATTTAACAATCTCCCACTGGCAGGTGAGGTTTTGTGTTGGCTGGGGCCCAGGTTGCAGCGTGATCTGCAGGCACACTGGTACCAGTGGACAGCACAAGAAGCTTGCACTTCACTTACACTGCAGAAATGACAGGTTCACTTTAAGCATTATTATTTAGTGTGTGTTGGGCGATCATGCAATTTTGGTTTCAAATTTGAAACCCTGTGCAAATGTAGTGGAGGGGGGGGGTGGTTATGTACAATAATCTGCAATTTCCAAAGCTAAGAAATAAAACTGCAAAATGTGCAATAGGAGACAAATGCTTCTCTCCAGAATATCATTGGTTCCCATTTGTTAGCAGTTATGATTATGCTCTAATGTTAGGTTTTCTGTTTGCTCCAGGTCCAACCTTTGCCGCTGTGCCTTGTCTTTCTGGGAGGAGGCAGGGCTCCCTGGTGCTATATAAAGCTGATAAATACCCTGCTGGAGCTTTGGGGCCTATTAACTTTATCTGGAAACCCAAATCTATCCCAGAGTCCTCGTGCGAGATACGGCAGTTGTGGATATGGATGCATCCTACTCTGAAAAAGGTAAATGTTTAATTTTAGCCTTATATTAACTGAAATCTAGCCAACATTCGTGTTGAATAAGCTGGAGAATGGTTAGAAGCTGCTAGGTTTTTATAGTGATGATCCACATCAAAATTGAATTGTACAGATTTTTTCCAAGTAGAAATTAAGTACTTATTTGCAAAGCGAATGCAGCTTTGGGTTATTGAGGGCCACCTTCATTATGGCTTGAAGGGCAGTAGTAAATACTGGACCAGGTTGCTCGTTCAAACAGTCTGTCAGCATTTGCTGTAAGTTAAGCTGGTTAAAGCAGCTGCTGACAGACTCTGTGCTCTAAAGAAGTAACAACCTGGTCAAAAAACAGTTTGTGCTCCTTTTTACTTTCAGTCCAGTGGTTTACACATGCTTAAATCAACTAGAGAGTCTAGGGGGTTGATTTACTAACCTTATAAACACACCACGAACATGTATACACCTCTGTAGTGTGTTCCCTCCCAGCATGATCTATGGGTGGAATCTAAACACCTTTGTAGTGTGTACACACCCAGCAGGTGTGTTGTGCAAAGCCAAGCATGAATTGCAAGGTGATGTTGTGTAAATTAGCTCTATGTTGTGTTGCTTGCGTTGATGAATGCAGGAATGTAAATGCATGAGCTAACCATTTTTGTCTAAACTGTGAAGCAGCATTATATATGCATCATGTGCATGATTTTTCCATATATGGCATTAGTGGAAATATGCTTTTAGAGACTTTTTGGTTGATAAATAAGTTTTGCTGTGTAAAAATCACACGCACCTAGTGCGTGCGTGTGTTTAGGTTAGTAAATCACCCCCTAGGAGTCTAGAAAGTCTTCTCCCCTGGGTGGCATGGATGATTTAACTCCATTGCACATATCAGTGGCTGAAGGGCGCTGTGGAACCTCAAGAAGAGACTAAGGACATGGCGGTGGTGTTGTATGGAGCAGCAACAGGATCATGGGCTAGGGAGTACATTATGGTAAAAATCCACCCACCATATGCAGAATTTAGTTCCACTTCAAGTTATATGGACCTTTCCTCTGTATCCTTTTTTTTTTCTTTTCTTTTTCATTATCGGTTTGGAAATACCTCGATCACTTCCCTTTTAGGATCTGTGTTGATGGGCTTTTGTTTTCTTCAGAACTGCATCTCTCCTCATACAAATCAAGGAGAACACAAATGCAGCCTAGGAGGTCAGAAGGAGATCAGCTGCAGGTCACATGCACCTAATGATGGAGCTTTAAATGATCTCCGAAGTTCCTCCAAATTGATTTCAAATGGAAGCTGAATGCAGTTGAAAATCGCACGCATTTTTCCAACCACAATAGCTTAAGCCAGTTAAAACAGGTCCTCGGCATGTACAAAGTTTTGCAGTTAGTAGCATGTCATACAGAAACACAATAAAAGTACATACAAATGCTGGGCACAATGGAAGCAGATGTGCAGTAGGGGCAGAGCCCTGACTACACAAGGTGAAAAAATAAGGTAAACAAATTGGTAAACTAAATTTTGCTGTCAATGGAAAAGGAAGTGTTAGAGGATTAGTAACCAACAAGGATATAGTAGGCCACAACGTGTGTTCACGCGTCTTATACTTTTGTACAGTCTGAGCTGTAAAGGGAGATTTTATATTGTCCGGTATGGCTGTTAATGGCCATTTTCTATTGTTTGGAACGCTGGTATTTATGAAAGGGCTCAATAGGCTGAAGTTGCTTTTAGCACCACTATTATTTTACAGTCACCAATTGTGTGTTTTGTTTTTTTTCTATCAGGACATATTGAAGGAACTAAGACTTGTGTGTGTATGTGAGGAGAGACCAGATAATACCATATGCACTCCAGCACTGCCAGCTGATCCTCCCGGGGAGGGGAAACCAGCAACTGTGAAAACAGCAGGCAGGAAGAGGAAGGTGCGGGATAAAGAAGGGGAGAAGGCTGTGCCAGTGAAAAAGATAATTGGTGATGGAACAAGAGACTCTCCTGACCCGTACCAGTGGACATCCACACATACATCCATCACAATTCGGTATGTATTGTCCAGATGTGTCCTTTGACTATTGGACATTATGGCTTTGGTATGCAATGTGTCTTCCTCCCCAGTCCCATGTCTGGTTTATTAGCAGGGTTACAGTGCCTTTTTAAAAGAGCAGGTCTGCAAGTTTCTGAATGTCTGAAGGGACTTTAGTAAGTAGCCGCAGACAGCAATTGTTTCCTCCTAGAACTGAAGTGTGATTTGATGTACTATGCTAACTGGAAATGAAGTCCACCATGTAATTTCTGTGGGATGGACTTTTATACTGGAAAGAGTCGTATGAAGTTGGCTGATCTAATGCTCTAATGCCGAATCTGATAAGTTTCATTACGCAGTAGAAACTGATCCAACATTTAACACTAATAACATTTAAATGTACGAGCTTTGTGTTGTGTGATTTGTTTGCAGAACCAACGTGTAACAGCCAGCCTTGGATTTACTGCAGTTTTTTTTTTTTTTTTCTTGCTTTCCTTCTACAGGGACCTGACTATGGAAATTGTACGGTATCGTCTTGTTGGCCCCCTTTCTCAGTGTGTACTCAGTGATGCTCTGCACCCAGCCCCTATGCATAAAGTAAGAATTTACCATAATATGATATTGGCTACTACCTTCTTAAAGCTTGTTGATGCCAATGACTCCTCCTGGGAAGGATACCTCTTCACTCTTAAAACATCTCCATTCTTGCCCACAGAAAAGTGAAGATAGAGGACCCCACTGTTGGTGGGAAGACTACTGTCAGAATTCAGATAATAATCTCCTTCATGACCAACAGAGCTCCTTCTTCCACTTACTGCAAGGTACACCCTGGGTGCTGGGGTCTATAGTTCTAAATAAAAAGGTACCTGTGCTCAGACTATGAACATTTTAATCGATTTTACATATTCCTAACTAGCAATAAAAGAGCTTTAAACCAAGTCATCCATCACCTCTCTAGCTGTTTTTTATTTGAAGTTATTAGTTCTCTAAGATCCTCAAAATCTACAGCAACGACACTAAAAAAACACAGTTCCTATGTTGTGAACTTGTATATACAGAGGTGAATGTGAGCTTGTTTTAAAGTGCTTTTATTGCGTGTTTAGAATCTGTAAATACTTTAGTGTTATTGATCTGGGCACAATATCACCTTGTATCATCAGCCTTTAGGCCAAGGCTGATATTTAATTTCTTAAATGTACATTGCCTACACATGTGAAAAATAAGACAATTACAACCATTGCTCAGCTCCTTCTGAAAATATTTGTTACTTGGGTGTCATGCTGATTCTGACTTCAGTATTTTAAGTCCCTGACCAGGTACAGGCATGCCACCAATAGAAGCTGGTGAAGTCAGAACTCCTGATCTGCAATTTTTTTGGGTCAGAAAATATTTAAATCGGAGTATCTTGATGACCGATGGTCAGCACAGGTTTCTTGAGGGGCACAGCTGACTGCTAAGAGTCTAATATTTATTCTGGCATTCTGCTGCTGACTGCTCAGTTGGCTAAATCCTGTACTTCTAGAAAACATTTAAAGGAGAACTATGAGGTGAGTGCTTTTGAATCGCCTCATAGTTCTAGCCGACCTGTGACAATGAGACTGTCACAGGTCGGCTCAGTAGATCGGGAGGGGAGCGAACACATACCGGCGTTCGCTCACCTCTCAAACCTGTCACGGCTCTGACTGGATTCCCGCTCCGATCCACCCAGCGCTGACTGGCGGAACGGATGGGGGAGGGGCGGGTACAGCTGGCTCTGCCTCTAGATAGGCAGAGCCAGCTGTCAGTCACGCAGCTGGGCGGATCCAGACATAATTGTCGGGATCCGCTTCAGCTGCGGCATCTCCGTATACCGCGACCTGCAGCTTGCGGTATACTGAGCCTAGGGTGACGGGAGGACGCTAGTTTGTGTCCTCCCGTTACCCTAAGGAGAACTATGGGGAAAAGCCCTGACCCCCATAGTTTTTTAAAGTGAATACATTTTTCTGTACCTTTTTTGTACTCGTGTCCTGAAGAGAACCTTTACCTGAAATTGCTACAAAGGGGATACAATTCCACTCTTCGTTGTGATTGGAACAGGTGTACCCAGGGTGACACGGCAATTAAAACTAGACGGAGGTTCTTATTCTTTCCTACTCTGTCCAAAAATGGGACTGTACACATGAAAAAAAAAATCCAGACAGGAAAACTGCACATACACAGCTTAAATATATTATAATTCTGTTTAGCTGCTACTGTGTTTTACACATCTCTGCCAGGTGCTGACCCTCTAAAGGCTGTTCTGTATTAGTACAGTTGTTCATAACTTTAGAATTCAGTGGTGGTTTTAAGGGGAGGCTGGATAATGCCATAGAAGGCAAATTTCAGAAACCCTAGTTCAGTTACTTTTCATGGCATTGTGTGTAATGTCAGTAGACTGTATCATGCCTATTCGTATTTATTAAACCTATTTGCTTATGGCTTATTTCCAGGAATAGCCTCGCCAGCACAGGTCCCACCAGGAACCATTTTGGGTCTCACTGTTGGAGATCCAAGAATTAATTTACCAAAGAAGAGGACCAAATCTCTGCCAAATCTCCAGCATTATGAAGGTGAATCCCCTGGCTTTTATCTGTATGCACATAGAATTGTGTACATGTCTAGTGTGTGTGTGTGTGTGGAAGGATCAAACCATTGCTGGCCTTGTGCTCAGTGGGAGCCTCTGTTTTGCCATACAGATGACCCAGGTTCAAATCCTGGCATGGCCAACTGGAAAAGTATTACCTGACTTTCATATGTATGTTGAACTATTCATCTTGTCCATCTTTGCAACTCATGATCATTATTAATGGTGTGTGCGATTTTTATCATTTTGTTGTTGCACTGTGCAGAGTGCGAGTAATAAGGGTTCATAACACCGATGCAATAAAATGTATATACAGCAAAAACAAATGAAAGTCATGCCTTTATGGCTTTACAATCTAGAATAAAAAAGAATGGGAACAAGTGGTATGGAAAATATATTGGGCAAGTGATGTGATTTAGCTTTACCAAGAGTAATATGTTGGCTAAAATGCTAGTTACTTGGTTGTCTCTAGTCACTTTCTGGAGTTGCTGAGCCAAGGAGCAGCATTAAAGTAAACTAGGGTATATACGTATATATAACATATTTCTCTATCCATGCTGAACATTGTGGATGGACAAATTCCCTGCTGCTTCTATTGTATTCTGACAGTGGTTGTCGGCTGCTGTCTGAATACCTGAACAGAGCTTGCAGCTGATTTTCCAACATGTTCCTTTGGCAAAAGTTGATCTAATGGTCGACTTCTGCTGAAGGAATAGAGCCACCAACCGAGTGAATTTCGGCCAATTCCTGCTGAAATGTGCTCTGTGTGCACCTGGCTTAAACCCTAAGTGGCTATAAGATGAATGCAATATTCTGGATTTTATAGACCCCTCAAATTTTTGCTTTAGAAGTGAGACTTCGTAATCAAAGGATGTTTGAGTTTGTTCGCAAGTTCTTCACCTAAATTGTTTTGCTGCAGAGTGGTGAGCCTCTGAATCGCTCACCATGCTTTAATCTCCAGGAACATTGCTGCTGACTATTAAAACACTCCAGAGTTTGGCCAGTGACCACACTGGACCATCTGTGAGACCCACGTTAGGATAGTGACTCATGGGTGTCCTGTGGCGTAAACACAATGGTCCGCTTCTAATAGGACTTGTGTGCAGATGTTTATATACACACTGGGATATAACCCAATCAAATGAGTTAATAACGCACTGTATTTAGGCCACGTGTAAGCTTGGGAATAAAAAAAAAAATGTTTGCTGCAATGTCTAATACTTGTTTTGTATTCTGGGTATGTGCACAGAGTTGTCTGTTGATGGACGGATATGTCTGCTTTCTTTTGATTCTCCAGATGGAGGAAAGGTGAAGTCACTGACAGTGGATGGTGTCCCAGCGGAGTGCTCTCAAAGTCTCATATGGTCATCTGATAATCGCTTTCAAGTAACAGATAATAAAGTATCAGAACAGGTGACAAACACAAATGGAACCTTATGAAGTAGTAAAAAACACTGCTTCTTAATTGTATAAACTGAAATGTCTTCGTGCAGCATTCCCCTTTTCTGCCAATGAATGTCGCGGTGTCATTGCTATCATGATTAATGCTTTGATGCCAGTGACTGACAGATGGGCAGATCCAAGTAACACCACTCAATTTATATATACTTGCATTGGTCCAGCTTGGTCCAATATGTGTGTGTATGTGTGTGTTTTTTTTTCACTTCATGTATTCATTAATAAAAAATACTAGGTGTACATAGTCTTCTGACTTGTCATATCTGAACTTTCCTAAGAGATTCATTTCATTATATAAGTAAACTAAAGGAGAACTATGGGGTTCCCCATAGTTCTCCTTAGGGTAACGGGAGGACACAAACTAGCGTCCTCCCATCACCCTAGGCTCAGTATACCGCGAGCTACAGCTCGCAGTATACTGAGACGCCGCAGCCGGAGCGGATCCCGATGTAGATAACGGGATCCGCCCAGTGAGTGAGTGTGTGAGTGACAGCTGAGTGTGTGTGTGACAGCTGGCTCTGCCTATCTAGAGGCAGAGCCAGCTGTACCCGCCCCCTCCCCCGTCCGTTCCGCCAGTCAGCGCTGGCAGATCGGAGCGGGGAGAGGGGAATCCAGCCCCTCCCCGTGTCACGGCAGAGAGCCGTGACAGGATCGAGATGTGAGCGAACCCGGTATGTGTTCGCTCACCTCCCGATCTACTGAGCCGACCTGTGACAGTCTCATTGTCACAGGTCGGCTAGAACTATGAGGTGAGTGAAAAGCACTCACCTCATAGTTCTCCTTAAGTCTTTAAAAACATGTAAAGGAACCTAAAGCACCACCTGCGGCTCAAAAGAAGAATGCCGAGTATTAATATGCAATATTTCAGGATAATGTACAGTTTATTAATGTATGGATAAATGTATCATCTATGCACAACTCACAAAACATTATTTGAAAGCAACACCGCAGCAGTGGTCTCCTTTTTAGATTGTGTATCATTGACAGTCATTGAGTCATGGCTTTGACAGAACTGATATTGATACTTGGGAAAATGTGGAAAAAGCAGCTTGGAACTCTACTACTGGCTGCGTATGAAAATATAAAATTCATATGCAATATTACATGTTTACCTGACCTATAAAATATTTTAGTCACTGGCCATAATAGACAATATATCAACTGTATTACAGGAAATCAACCGTTTGAGGAGTAAGCTTCTGGTACCTGGTTCACGGCTGGATCTTGGCAATAAGGAATCTAAGATTCCTATCCTAATAATTCAGCACCCTGGAAAAGCCACAGGCCGAGACCGCCTAGGATGGGGCAGTGGCTGGGACATCTGTCTACCGAAAGGCTGGGGCATGGCTTTCTGGATCCCTCTGGTATGTTTTCTTATTCCTTTGTAACTCCTGTAATCTGTTTATTGTGCAACAACATCACTTACAATGAAATCTCAGATTTACCGAGGTGTCAGAGTTGGAGGTTTACAGCAAGCATTGCAGCACTTCCAGTATATGGGCGCATCACATGTTCCTGGGGACTTCCCTGACAGTCTGGCTGGGGTTCAGTCTGCACTGGAGAAAGAGGCTAAGCTGGTGGAAAAATTTACCAAGTAAGTAGAACTATCTCACTACTATCACTGGGGGCACATCAGCACAATGAGAGATGATGTGTTGGATTCCTGGGAATGGCGAGTGATAGAAACCCTTCAAATGGGACACACGATGTGAATACTGCTTGCATATACTCAACCACTGTAGGTCTAATCAAAAAGTACACCTCCTGCAGTACATTAACACTTCCCAGTGTTATGTCTCTTTCTGAACCCTGCCAGCCCAAAAATATATGCTATATTTCTGGAGAAAACCTGCTGTCTTATTTTTTTTAACCAACACATCAATAAACAGAAAGGAGAAATGGTTTCATCCTTCTTGAACTATATTGAGCCTTGTAACTCCTCTCAAGATCAATGCACACACTTCTGCCATAATTCATTTGATGAATTTATCAATTGGCATTCATTGGCTAGAATCCTCAAAGCCCTACCTATCAAGAAGCAGGGTCAGAGCTAATGGAAATCTTCCATTACATGCTGAGTTGCCTGTCTTCCTAATCCGTGTAAACACAGCTGTTATGTCATGAAAGTTGGTCTCATACAGGCATCAAAATGAACTCTCTTTGCCAAATTGTGCCATTATAAAGGAGTTATCAAGTAAAGGGTTGTCCCTTTTTTTAAAAAGGTTTTAATTTTGTCCTTTTTCACACTTGATTCTAAAAAGTTCTTGTTTTACAAAATTATAACGACGTATACAGCATTGGAACCTTGACCAATCACACATTTGAAAGCTTATTTTCTTCTTGTTTCATAAGGCGCCCACCTGCAAAGAGAACAAACTTTATCAAGCATGGAATTCTGGCACCATTTCTGTGCCCCTGGGAACAGCTGACCAGAGAGTGGGAGACACGTGCTGGAGCAGATGGATCTGGAAAGGAGGAGGAATGCAGAACTGAAGCAGAGGAAAAGGTAGACACATCAGTAGAGAAGATGGACCATGGATCAGAAGCTGGGGCAGAGCTAGACACATCTCTGCAGAAGATGGACCATGGAACTGAAGCTGGGGCAGAGCTAGACGCACCTGTACAGAAGATGGACCATAAAACTGAAGCCAGGGCAGAGCTAGACATATCTGCACAGAAAACGAAAGAACATGGAACTAAAGATGGAGTTGAGCTAGACATATCTGCACAGGAGATGGACCATGGAACTGAAGAGCAGCCACATCATCCCAAAGATACAGATATGGAATCTGGTTCTACTGTGAGCACTGAACAAAAACCCACTGAGGATATTGGGCCAAAAGTACAGGATTTCTCTGTGTTAAGGTATGTCAAATAGAATATTTGATCAGTTTTGTATATGCAAGGTAAGAATCCTGGTAGAGTCCATTTTTCAGCCATATAAAGGCACTATGACTTTACAAGAAGTGGTAACTTCCTTGATATGCTGTTTTGGATTAAAGTATTTTGTGAAGAGGTCCTAAAATTTATTTTGATCAAGCATCCCTTTCCTGATTCAACGGAAGATGGTATGAGATAACGGAGGCATGTGAACTACAGGGCTGTGAGTGATGCTGTTATGGAGCTGGCAGACTACATGTGTTCTCTGCATTAGTGTAGGCATGGGCCAGGTCAGAAACGGTCAATCTTCAGAGGGCCTCTCATCTCTGAGGCTTCTGTCCATACATTAATTCTAGACAAACTAATGCTATAGGAGAAAATAGAAATATTTCATAAGCAAGCCTGAACAGTTATAATAATTAATTTGGGTATATGTTCAGAATCTTGCATAAGCCAAACTGTGACCTTTTCTGTTTTTGTTTTTTTATAGTGTATGTGACATACAAGGCATGCTCCTCTGGTCATAACTGTCATTTACCAGTGTGTTCTCAACTGGTGCCATAGTTGGTCATGTGCAACATCATGGCAGCTGCGCATCTAAAGACTAAGGTGGCACCAACCTTGGCAGATGGAAGGGTTTAATTCTGCTTTAAACCATGCACACTTTTGTATCATTAATTCTCTTTTTTGTGCTTGTACCTTTGGCACACTGCCATGCATCGTACAATTTGTCTTTTGTGCTGTATTGTAAGAAGCTCTGTGAAAAAAAAATTTCTCTCTCTCTATCTATATATCTCTCTCTCTCTATATATCTCTCTCATTGTGCTAAAGCAGAGATATAGTCGAGAAAGACCAGTGACCAGAAATGGAGCTTGGCTTGAACACAAAGCCCCTGTTACGTTTGGTACCTGCTAGAAAGATACCTTTTTTAGGTGCATATTTATAAAGCAGCGAATCTGACACTTGCCAAACCTTCACTGTGACTGTATGAGCATGTTTTAAATGATGGTGATTCACCACCGGTAAATGTTTGGTAAAAGTCACATTGACAACTTTATAAAAATGCACCTTAGTATTCAATAATGGTTAAAAATAAAGGAAAGCCTGCCATCATTAAAATATCACCAATATTTTCTCACTTTTTTTTCTTTTACAGAAACAAAAAGATTTTGAAAATGCTGTCTGCCTTTTTTGATCTGCATGAAAGAAAAGTCGGACACCCACCATCTCTGGAACTGTCAAGTCTGGTGAACCCTGTTCTAAGAGACTTGCCAAGGTCATTGGTGTGGGTCAGACTGTCTATGATGGCAAAGGGAAGTCCAGAGCTCCATTCGCTGATTTGCATTCCATCTCAGGAAGACCTTGTCCAGCTGAAAAAAGACAAGTTGTTTGCGGGCCCCCAGGAGCCCAAGCACAGCGACCCTTTTAAGCGTAAAATAGTAAAACAGAAGAAGGAGCAGCGAAAGCAGAAATCCAAGTCTAGGCGTGGTGGCTCTGAAAACATGGAGACCAATGTGGATCGCTCGGGCGATGGTCAACTGACACTGGGAATGTGGCCTACTCCTATACCGGAGGTGACCACACATTGCAGTAGGCTCCTCCTTGGCTATGTTACGCAGGGTGACTTCTCCATGGCTGCAGGATGTGGAGTTGCCTTAGGATTTGTTAGTTTAACAGGCCTGTTCCACTTGTTACAGCAAGCTAGTGATAAGATTGGAATTGTGCTAGTTAGAAACCCTTCCTCTCTCCAGTACAGATTTGCAAGGCTGACCGTTGATACATAAACATAAGAATCTATCCTTGAACTTTCATATAGAAGTGAATCTAAGGCACCGATTGGAGCCAGGTGTTTCCAATATGTGCTATGACAATATAAAATTGATACAAAAGTTAATCAATGAAAGTCGTCATGAAAGAAATCATGCTAAATAAAATATTTGTATTTATAAATGAAGTCAGATGGGGCTTACCCACTGACTACTTCTATTTGTTTTGGATTCTATTTGTGTTCCTTCGTTTCTGGCTCAATTTTGAGTGCATGGACCCTTTTATTACTTAAAGAAGCTTAAAATCAGAGAAATTTGGGAGTTGCAGTTGTTTTCTTAAAATGCGACACGCCTAGCAGCTGTTTCTATCCAGTAGCTACAATACTTTGAGTTACTGACCCAGAACAGATGTGGCTCAGTTTTCACTTTCCCCTTCACTTGCTGCATGCTTGAACCAGTGACTGACCTTTTCAGAAAGGGGTCATCGGACAATGGCAGCCTAAATATCTGCCCTTTTCACTGGCACATGTGTAAAGGACTGGTGGGCAATGAAGTCCCTGTTTTTTCTAAACCAGGGCGCTTCTAGTGGTTGTGAAGAAAAGGGCCTTTTTTTTTTTTGTAACCTTATGCAGGGAGAGGTCAGACTCTCCATATCCATTCTATTCTCATAGAAATTTAAATATTGGAAAACTAAATGGTTTCTCTTTTGGTCGAGTCGGGAGGGGTTAAGCCCCTGTCACGTTGTATTCCTATGTTGTTGTAGAGATTTCCACTCACTTCCTGCCCTAGTGACAGGAAGTGATGTCTCCGCAGTAAGAACACCTTCTCCACTTTATGCAGAGCTACTGCATCCCTGTTGAGACTTCTCTTCTGTGTCTACTTTTGTTCCCCATGGTCCCTGTGTGTGTTGTAAAGTAGCCACCTCAACAAGCTCACTCCTGTGATGGACTACAATCTCAGGTTTAGTTTACTAATTTGTACTGAGATTGTAGTCCATCATGGGAGCGAGCTTGGAGTGGTGACTACTCTACAACACACACTGGGACCATGGGGAACAAAAGCAGCCACCCTCCAGAAGGAAGGACAGTGTCAGTGCCAATTCAGAGATGATTTGAGGATCTACAGCCGAGTGATACACAAAGAAGATACATTTTTGTTGATGGGTAAGGTACTTCAGTGCATTTTTTAAGATTTAACTCCTGAGTTTCACTTTAACTCCTCCCCACTCTACCAAAAAAGAGAGAAAATTTGGTCTTTGACCCCATTGAAACAATTTGCCCCACTTTGAAATGATATAGGATTAAGCTGGGGTCTCAGCTTGTCTTGGGCTTACATTTGTATTGCTTTCTGAAACACTCATGGAACACCGACCCTCCCCTAGAGTCTGACAGAAAGAAAGGCTGTGAATTAAATTTGAGAGTTGCTCAACAAGGATACAGCCTATAAAAAAACCTTGGATTGAAGAAAGGCTTCCTGTTAGTCACACCAATAAAGATCCAACAATTTATAATAAACCCCTTCCCTTTCAATAATTAGTGTTCTACTTTAATAATGGTAATCTGAGTTATGTGGAGTGCAGGCCATCCTGTCTGTCTATTTGCAAAGGGAGGGGAGGGGGGACTGGAAATGAATAAATTAGATAAAATAAACGGTTCTCTTAAATTGTATTTGAGTGAACATTTAAGAGCAGTGAGTGGTGAGTGACATGGATGGATATATAATATATATTTTTCTATGAATAAGGAAATACTGTTTTATTTGTAGTAAGCTTCTAATACATCCACTATTGAGGTATTTTCTTATAGGACTGGGGCTACAGTTTGCCCACAACTGCTATAAAGAGAGATCAAAGTCTCACAATGGGAAGTAGGTCAGCTCTGAGGAGCTCTGGTCCAGTTTTGCACAAAGCTAATTGTAGCTGTCTATTGTCCGGCATGAAATGCAAAGCAAATGTCATCATAATGCAATTGCTCACCAAATCAGTTGAAGCCTGTAGCCTCATGGCCATGTAACCTTTCCTGTAAATGCTTATAGCACCTCAGCACATGGAAGCGGCTCTCTGTGGTGGTAAAGTTACTGTAAATGACAAAGACAATGTTGTAAAGCTGAAATCTCCAATGCTGCTGGCTAAAGAAATGTAATCTTTTTCTTTCTATAGAATGTACTTGTATGGCAGCGTCCTGTACATGTCATTCAGATGCCAGATTTGTGAAATTGTATTATTTTACAGCAGCATGATTCACTTCAATTTTTTTTTTGTGTATATAGTAAAGTACTTACAACTCTGCATATGTAGTGTGTGTCCTATTTTTCTAATGGCTTGTATCTCTGGCTAAACAATCTGGGTGTTACCAATATCATGCCGCTAGCTATACTTGTCAGTCCTCTTTTTGCTTTACATTTGATCTGTTATAATAGCCTTTCACAGTGCTACTGGGTGTGACTGCAGCCTCTTGCCACTTGATTACGTTTTGTGTATACAAGGGGTAGACAGCCTCTGTACTCCCAGCTGTTGTGGAGCCTTAAATCCCATGAGGCATTGGAAGACTGACGGCCACCAATATGACTCCAAGAGGCATGATGGAATTTGTAGATTCACCACAGATAAGTGTCCAGGTTGACTACCCCTGGTGTAGGGGGGGGCGGGGGAAGAATTCCTTTCTCTGCGATCTCATGAGATTACAGATGAGATTTCCCAGCAATGCTCTGCTGATGTAACCTTCCCAGGATGCAACATGTGGGCACAAACTGCATCACTAATGCCCAAGTGGACCAGGGAGTGGAAAAACAGTAATTGTAAGTAAAATCAAAATATGTTTAACTAATGAATGCAAAATGATTTCATATCAGCATGTAGAGCTGAATTAAACAAAACAATTTTTTTTGGCTGACATTCACAGCCATTCCAATGGCGGTCATATTGAATACAAGGAGATTCAGCCGGATTAAAAGCAATTTTCTAGTTTGGTTTAAAACTTGGGGAAACAAAATACATGAAGCTGATTGCAGACTGCACTTAGTTACTTCCACCACAAGATGGCAGCATTAGACCATAGTCTGTCTCCTGTCATTTTTCATTTTGGTCATCTAAATTCACTCTACCCAATCCATTATCCTCTTTAGAACACCATCTAATACGTTGGTGATATCTTATCATTTACTAGCTATGTTTTGAAGTCTTGAATTACCTTCTGGTCAGGCCTCAGGGTCATTTTTATATCTTTTGTATGGAACAGCACGCAGTATAGTCATCTACCAATCCTGGAGGACTCGTTCTGAGAGACTGTAGAGAGGACCTTCACCTTTTAATTAATCTTCAGACTTGAAGTGGTTGTCGTAGCTGCCCACCACACCGTGCATGTTATTTAGATAGATTTGTTTGCTTTAGGATTACTTAATAAACTCCAGGCACATTTGAAAGCTGCAGATTAATGATGCTATAATGAATACAGAGCTGCATTCGCTATATTGCAAGCAGAGGAAGTACTGGAATTTGATTTGGAATTGGTCTCTCAGGGGCGTCCCGAGGCTGGGTGACACCGTGACGTCATCGCTCATGTGCGTGACGTTGCCGTGCGCTGTCATCTTATTGATGCCTGCCGGTGGCCATCTTGGTGATGGACGCCAGCAGAGAGGAAGGAACATTCACCTGGCGGTATGAGGTATGCTGCCGGGTCCCCTCCTCTCTCCGGACACTGTCATGCTCTCGGTTAGTGACCGAGTGCCCGACTTTTCATAGGGGGTGACTGATAGTCATTTTGGTGTCACCCTTCCAATGGTGGCACCCGGGTGTGGGCTGCACTGCACAAGGAGCCATCCAGTTGTAAGGCAGTGCTCATGTGCTAACGAGGAACATCCTGGTAGGAGGCAAGAGCAGAGTGACATGGATAAACTCATCACTTAGTAGTTTGCCTGGAGTTCAGCTCTAAAACCTCCACCCACACAGTAAAGGTCCACTTAAAGGTTGCTCCGTGAGACTCATGTTTTCTCTTTGTGCAGGGTGACTGGCCATGTCTCCGCCCCCTCCTGCAGTTTTCTGCAGGCAGCCTGTAGTGGGTGGAGCTGCTCGGTCCCTCCCACAGCTCTGCTCTCTGCACAGGCCCTGCATAGTGAGCATGTCACTGCTACTTTTACAAAGTAATAACTGTGCTTACAAAGGCATTTGGTGCACACAAAGTGGATGTAAACCTTTTGTGGCTATTGAATATATTTAAATGTAATTTTTTTTGTGTGCCTGGAGTTTTGCTTTAACTGTATTGTTAAAAAGCCAATATGCTGACATTGTTTCAGGTTGAGCTAGCAGTGACGCCATAGGTCAGCATTACACATGAGGCACAGTACGCTGACGTCATCGGCCAGCGCTGGCTATTTGTGCTATAGTAAACGAGCTGGCTCCTACATCAAGGGAAGGGAGGATTGAAGTATAAAACGGAATTGAATTACTGCAGAAGTGGAGCGTAATCTCCCTTTGTGGAAAACAGCCGGGGCAACATGCTCTGAGGATCTTATAATTCAATCTCCTGCTTCCTGTATTTTTTAATTAGTCGCTTGTAGCCCTCGGGCCGGCTCACGACGCTCTATCAGTTGCATGTGATCTTGGAAAGGCTTCTGCGGTTGCTCATTGCGTCTGTGTTTAATCCAGTCCCATATTGATCGGCAGCATGGTGATCTGTCACGTTGAACCCGGTCAGCAGGGTAAATGTGGTGGAACATCTGCAATCACATCAGCTCGAGAGGCAATGAAATCCGAGCTCGTCTCTAAATTGCTGCCGTCGTGTCTTCAATGGGTCATGCAGTGTTAGCGTTGCGTGATGTTCTGCTGGATGTGATTCTTGGGATTGGTTGCTGGTTCCATGCACCCAATTACGAGGGAGCAGTATGTAATGCTTTCTTGTTATAATTGGCAGGATAAACTGTAGCATTGTTTATGGCGTATAACAAACACATGACGGCATGGATAGAAGCACATAAAGGTGGAATGCGTCATGATTGTGAACGGAAGGAAAGGCTATAGGCTCAAAATACAGATTTTGATTTTAGCCATGTGACTAATTTTCAAATCTGAAAAT